TTGTCTCAAGGAGCCTGTTTACTACTTATATGTAAATTGAGGTAAACACACATTTCTTTGTTTAACCACTCCTGCCTAGACAGTGCGGGGTGGATTTGAACAAGTGCCACCAACATCTTACAGGGAGAATTCCTAAGTTTGCATAGAGCAGGCCAAGCGTACAAAGGATCAGAAACAGGGCCCAGATCTACTGACTACAAGTTTTGTGCCTTAACTCCAAGACAATTTATCCTCAGACAGGTGCGCCAACTACCGCATCAAATATATAGCCATCTCCTACAAGGAAGTGCCCAAGTGGGAAGGGGGGGTTACAATGCTATCCAGGCCAAACCATAGGTAATATCTATGAATAATGCTTAGTCTGTATAGCATTTATGAGTAGTTTGTTGTGAGTTTTTGATATTCAAAAGTCAAGCTGTATTGGTTAATTTCAATTGGACACACAGGTCATGTGGTATTCTCCTGTTTCCTGGTTGGTTGAGCATAACTCATAGAAGCAGGGTTTTGGTGTGAAAACTCAGGTTTACAATTTTCTGTGAGTATTCTCTTGAACAGTGCTGTTTCCACAAACATCCCTTCTACAAAACTCACAATCCTGAAGTTTTGAAGAGTTGGGTAAGACCGTGATTTTTCAAATATTTTAATGTACATTCATTCATGACTATACATTCTGCTCTACACGAGCAACTTCAGTATAGGCCCTCTGAATTTACAACAGTGTAACAGAGAGCAGAATTTGGCATAAGAACCTGATTTGCTGATTCCCTGATGCTGCATGGCCCCACCAGTGAATACTCCCTGGTTCAGAATAACCCCAAACAGCTTTGTGCCACTCCCAAAGAAGTCCCTGGCACAAGGGACATTTCAGGGCAAACTAGAGGTTGATCAGAGTAGGAGGTGGAGGAGGGTGTTTCAGCAGGAAGAGTCGCAGCCCAGACAATCCTGCACCTTGGCTATTTCACAGCTCCTCCAAAACCAGGGCTCAGTTTAGCCATGGCTAGGGCACCCAGCAGCCCTAGAATTAGAGTAGAAGCCACTTTCCATCCCCCTCTGCACAACCACAGGGATGAATTTAGCACTAGATGTCTTGCCTTTTATCATGATATATTGGGAATTATTATCAGGAGAATTTTTTTACTAGACATTCCATGTGCTTTGTGAAACCATTAACTTCATCTTTATGTTGATTATTTTGTTCCTGGATCAAAACTCTGTCTTGTGCACTGTATCTTTTTTTTTTAATTGTGTTTTTAAGGGGTAGCTCCCTCCCACCCCCACCCATCTCTCCTTTTTGCATGCTCACCTCCTCTTTTTCCATCCATTACTGCTCTAGAAACAGTTCACTGTTGAATGGTGGAACTTTGGAATTAGAAGTAGTTCCTCCTCTTCACAGTTCCTTCTGCTGCTACTAACCTATAAATAGTGCAGCTCAACATTCAGTGTTTGGATTTACACGTGAGAAGCGTGTGACCCTGTTTTTAGGGGTGGATGCCAGAAGCCAGTCACAAAACAGATCACAAAACTGAGGCACAGAAGAGCGGTGGAATTGAGAGTGATGTCAGAGGGGAGAAGGTGATGTCGTGGGCACAGTTGAGATGGCGAGGTTAGAGGTGGATGGACAATGCAGTTGGTGGAAGTGGGATAGTGACAGAAGTGGGGTATTGATGTAGCAGGTGGGAGATCGACTCCTGGCAGTATGAGAGGTCAGTGTCAGGGCAGTGGTATAATGACCTGAGGGGGTAGGTGACATGGGAGGGCAGGGAAGAAGCCACAGGGGGCACTGTGAGGAATGCAGAGGAGTACCTCAATGATGTGGATAAATCATGAAAAAGGCAGTGTTGAGTGTGTTTCGGGGAGCACCCCAGGGGTTGTCTCAGAAAAAGGTGTGAAATGGTTCATGAGGAAGCAGCGGGGGTTGTGTTTTGCATTGAGGTCAAGGAGGCTTTGGAGGGGGAAATGACAGGTATGTCTTTGGGAAGGGGGGTGACCTAAAGGTGTCTCAGTGGGGAGTTATGTGTGGGTGAGGAAGGATGTTGGAGGAACGGCAGTGTGTGTCTCGGGTAGGGTGGCATTGGGGTTGTGTTGTGGTCTGAGGGATAAGCAGGAATACATTGTGTTGAGACAGAGGGCATTGTGATGCTGGAGGATTTTTTTTTGCTGGTGAGAGGGCAACCTGGGGTGTCTCAGGGAAGGAAATTTGGAGCGTACTGGGCATGGGTTTGTCAGAAAGAGTCAGGAGTTGTGTTTCTTCTGATGTGAAGAGAAAGGGATATCTCAGGTAAGGGTTGCCTCCGATGCGGAGTGCTTCCTGGAGGTACATAAGAACAGCCATACTGGGTCAGACCAAAGGTCCATCCAGCCCAGTATCCTGTCTGCCGACACTGGCCAATGCCAAGTGCCCCAGAGGGAGTGAACCTAACAGATAATGATCAATTGATCTCTTTCCTGCCATCCATCTCCACCCTTTGACAGAGGCTAGGGACACCAATCCTTACTCATCCTGGCTAATAGCCATTAATGGATTTAACCCCATTAATCTATCTTGTTCTCTTTTAAACCCTGTTATAGTCCTAGCCTTCACAACCTCCTCAGGCAAGGAGTTCCACAGGTTAACTGTGTGCTGAGTGAAAAAGAACTTCCTTTTATTTGTTTTAAACCTGCTGCCCATTAATTTCATTTGGTGGCTCCTAGTTCTTATATTATGGGAACAAGAAAATAACTTTTCCTTATTCACTTTGTCCACCCCACTCGTGATTTTATAGACCTCTATCATAAGCCCCCTTAGTCTCCTCTTTTCCAAGCTGAAAAGTCCTAGCCTCTTTAATCTCTCCTCATAGGGGACCCGCTCCAAACCCCTAATCATTTTAGTTGCCCTTCTCTGAACCTTTTCTAATGTCAGTATATCTTTTTTGAGATAAGGAGACCACATCTGTATGTAGTATTAAAGATATGGGTGTACCATAGATTTATATAAGGGCAATAAGATATTCTCTATCTTATTCTCTATCCCTTTTTAAATGATTCCTAACATCCTGTTTGCTTTTTTGACTGTCACTGCACACTGTGTGAATGTCTTCAGAGAACTATCCATGATGACTCCAAGATCTCTTTTCTGATTAGTTGTGGCTAAATTAGCCCCCATCATATTGTATGTATAGCTGGGGTTATTTTTTTCCAATGTGCATTACTTTACATTTATCCACATTACATTTCATTTGCCATTTTGTTGCCCAATCATTTAGTTTTGTGAAATCTTTTTAAGTTCTTCACAGTCTGCTTTGGTCTTAACTATCTTGAGCAGTTTGGTATTGTCTGCAAACTTTGCCACCTCACTGTTTACCCCTTTCTCCAGATTATGTATGAATAAATTGAATAGGATTGGTCCTAGGACTGACCCTTGGGGAACACCACTAGTTACCCCTCTCCATTCTGAAAATTTACTATTTATTCCTACACTTTGTTCTCTGTCTTTTAACCAGTTCTCAATCCATGAAAGGATCTTCCCTCTTATCCCATGACAACTTAATTTACGTAAGAGCCTTTGGTTTGGGAACTTGTCAAAGGCTTTCTGGAAATCTACGTATACTATGTCCACTGAATCCTCCTTGTCCACATGTTTGTTGACCCCTTCAAAGAACTCTAATAGATTTCCCTTTACAGAAACCATGTTGACTTCTGCCCAACAATTTATGTTCTTCTATGTGTCTGACCATTTTATCCTTTACTGTTGTTTCAACTAATTTGCCCGGTACTGATGTTGGACTTATCGGTCTGTAATTGCCGGGATCACCTCTAGAGCCCTTTTTAAATATTGGCATTACATTAGTTATCTTCCAGTCATTGGGTACAGAAGCTGATTTAAAGGACAGGTTACAAACTACAGTTAATAGTTCCGCAATTTCACATTTGAGTTCTTTCAGAACTCTTGGGTGAATGCCATCTGGTCCCGGTGGCTTGTTACTGTTAAATTTATCAATTAATTCCAAAACCTCCTCTAATGACACTTCAGTCTGTGACAATTCCTCAGATTTGTCACCTACAAGGGACAGCTCTGGTTTGGGAATCTCCCTAACGTCCTCAGCCGTGAAGACTGAAGCAAAGAGGTAGGTAGGTAGGGGTGTGTGTCCTGTATGGGGTGTGACAGTGTGTGTGTTAGGGTGACCAGATGTCCCAATTTTATAGGGATAGTCCCGATATTTGGGGCTTTATCTTATATAGGCACCTATTACCCCCGGCCCCCCCCGTCCTGATTTTTCACACTTGCTCTCTGGCCCCCCTAGTGTGTGTGTGTAGAGCAGCAGGGCATGACGGTGTGTGGGGGGTGTGACAGGAGCATATTATCTGGGAGGGGAAGGCAGCCTGGGGCAGGTGGAAGGAGGAGGTGGGTGGGGAAGTCTCAGGTGGAGGGGAGGCCTGCGCTGTCTTGTGGGGAGGAAAACACTGGAAGTGGCTTTGCTGCGGGTTTCTCGGGGTGTGGTGGGCAAGCAAGCAGAAGGGTGTGCTGGGACTGTGTGTAAGTGAGCTGTAGCTCAAGAAAGCTCATGCTCAAATAAATTGGTTAGTCTCTAAGGTGCCACAAGTCCTCCTTTTCTTTTTGAGTACCGGAGTGTCTGGCGTGGTCAGTCTGGGCTGGGAGGAGCGGAAGTGGCCGTGTACAGTGTTTCTCCGGGGAAGGGCGTTGAATGTGCGGTGTATGGGGGGGGGGGGCACAGCTAAGCCCCTTTCAGTACCGTGAGCGCCGGTAGCAGCAGCGGTTGCCTAGTAACAGGAGGCGGCTGCTGCAAAGCGCGTCCCGCCCCGGCTCCTCCTACTACAAGGGCTGGGCGGTGACGTCACGCGCAGGAATTCTAGACCGTTCCAGAACTGTGACATAGGGTGGCGTCATTCCAGAAGGTTCGGCGCTGCCGCTATAAAAGCTGCGGAGCTGGCCGGGCGCTGCGCTACGAACTAGTACTAAATCAGTTGCGTGCGGGGGCTCGTGAGTGCCATAGCGGTAAGAGCGGCCGGTCCCAGCGGCGCCGGGTCAGGGATGCCCCCATGTCTGCTGGGGGCTGGAAGGATCAGCCGGTGCCTGACCTGAGGGAGCCGATCGCCTCCCGGCCGGCGTCCTGTGCCCTAGGCACCAGCTGCCCGGCAGTCCCCAGCCGGGGCCGGGCAGCGCCGTGCGGGCGTCCGGTCGGGGTGGGGGCTGGTCGCTGGCCGGGCGAGGCAGCGCCGTGTCACGGAGCGCTGGTCCCCGGCCCGCAGCCCCCTAACGCTGGTGTCGCTCTCCCGCCCAGGGCGCCATGGTGAAGGAAACGGGATACTACGACATCCTGCAGGTGAAGCCCAGCGCCTCCTCGGACGAGATCAAGCGCGCCTACCGCAAGCTGGCGCTGAAGTATCACCCCGACAAGAACCCCAGCGAGGGCGAGCGGGTACGTGATGGAGCGCGCCCGGCTCTCGGCGGGCACCGCGCGGGCTGGCGTTGCGGCGGCACTACGGTTCAACCGCCTGTGGGGGGTGGGGCCTGCCGCAGCCATGAACCCTTCGGCCCCCCTGCCCAGGGGCTCTCGGGGTCTCGCAGAGCCGGAGGCGGGGTGTAAAGTCTCCCTGATCGTTCTAGGGCCCGGCAAGAGAGACGCTGCTTAGCCCGGGGCGAGGGGGCGGTGTGTAAAAAGCACCTGCCGTGCGGGGCGGGGTTTGCTTTCCCCTGGCGCGCCAGAGCCTTGGTGTTGGCGGGTGCTGTCCCTTCTGCCCTAGCAGCCGGCCGGGCCGGGGCCGGACCGCTCACGTTAGCGCCTTCCGATCGCCAGCCGGCTGCAAAGGGACTTGCTTGGCTGCTGGTGTTCCAGCTGGTGCGGCTTTGCCGCGTGAGGACGGCCTCCGACGCTGTGTTCAGAAAAGCCAGTCGTAATTAAAAGCTCGTTTGAAAACCATGCTTCAGTTTCGACATATAACAAGTGCTGCTTTCGGCAAGCTTCTAGGATGAGCAAAACGGTTGTGGCTCACATGAAAACTAGCTTTTTAACCTGGTTCTGCATTTCTACACTAAGATCTTTCCACAGGACCACTTACTTGGCTGTGTCTAGGACCTTGCCTTGAGTTCCATGAATAATGCCACTTACATTTTAAACGTGGCTCAACTGCCCAGTATCTTGATGTCTATGGTATCAAAAGAAGAGCAATTAGGAGCACTTGGGTATCAGGATTGTTGATTGGTCCATGAAAAGCAAGTTAGTTATATTTAGTCATGTGCAGATGAGTGACCATTGGTCTTGTAAATAGCAGATGCTTTCTACAAGTGCCAGGGTAGATTTGGTTTAAATGGAATTGATTTAAATCACTGGTCAGGAAGACTCGATTTAATCATGGATTTCTACATAAATGTGCATTCTTGTTGGTTGTTACAACCTTAATACATATTCTTCACAACTTGGAGATAGATGCAGGTTTCATTTTTAGAAGGTACACATTATACATTTTTAAAGTGATTTCTTTTGAAAACTTTTCAGATTAGTTTTACAACTATATCAAAAAATGAATGGTTGTTTGATTATTTCATTTACCAAAGCTAATTGAAGTAGTTCACCTCCCAGTGACTTCATACATAGCTATCTCCATTCCAATTCAACAGGTTAATTACATTAACATTTGGAGGATTTTCTTGCCATGCTGTATTAGGAGGAGAATATCACCAGACAGACATTTAAGTTGTTTTATTTAACTAAAACAATAATGTTATGTATTTTGGATTTTTTTCTTCAACAGCAAACATATAATATTTTAACAAAACAAGCATATGAATTTTTGAATTTAGTTAAATATTCAAGTTTTTAAAAATCAGGTTTGTTTTTGTTAAAACTGTTAACTAAAATAGTTAAATGAAATTCTAAAAAAAACCCAAAAATTAAATAGAATATGTCAGCCAGGTCAACAGGAGAAACTTAAAATATTGTCTTCTGCAGCTAACTCCATCTTCATTTTCCTGTTTGTTCATAATCTGGAAAAGAAGAACAAGCTTTCCTTCTTTTTCAGGTCCCAAACTGTTTCTCAATTTGGAATGAATTAGTCCAAAGGAAGAAAATATTCTTTCTACCGGCAGAAGAAGCTACTGCTGTTAAAAGTGAGATTATCACTTCAACAGTCTCTGAATCCAAGTGCTTAAGTGACTTCCACCAGTTCACTGGTGTGACTTTCTTTAAAACATCATCAGAAAACATATATTTCTTGAATGGTTCTTATTCCCAAACTGGGTCTCTCTTACAGCCTGCTGCCATTACAGGTTTTCCTTTCTAGTGAGAGAATGGTACGTTAGATCTCAAATCAATGAAGGCTACATTCAGAAAGACCTCAAGACTTCTGGAATATGCTGCTCAAATAGTTTCACTTTTGTTTCTACTGCCTGTCCCTCCCTTCTCACATTTATCTCCAGACTTCTTCTCCTTGTCCAGATCTATTCCGCTCCCAGCAATCTTCTAGTCATTGAACTTTTTGAAACTTTGCACTTTTAGAGAGAGGTTAGGGATTGAATCTCTGTACACAAATTTGCAGAGGGACAATGGGGTTGAGGTCTGTTATTTCTCACTGTTATCTATTATTTACTTATTTTAAAACATATTTGCTGTTAACAAGCATGTTATCTCTGGAGATACCAATCCACATTTTGAGAACTGCAAAACTAAGCATCTCTGATGGTATCTTCTAGACTGAGCACTGAGTCCCATTGGGTAGATAGAAAGATTAACCTAAATAATCTATACAGAAGCCCCTAGAACTCTGTAAAATTGGGTCCCTAATCCATAAACTATTGGAACTCATTTACAAAACTTTTCTTAAACATTACATGAATATATTGTCTCATACTATAGAATTAGTATTTATAATCCTATTCCATGATGAGATATTTTTGAGCTATAATGTATCTTAATTAGAACTATCTTTAGATAGGTTTTTTCCTCAAAAAGGATTTTATCAAAAAAAAATCAGATTTAAATTAAAAAATCTGATTTTTTTAATTGAATCATTGATTTTTATCCACCCTGACAAGTGCAGAGTGAAGGATTATTTAGTTCTGGTTCTCTTCTGTTATCTCTGTTCTGTATTGAACGAATGAATGTAGTGTTCTTATTGCAGTAAAGAGTATTTCCAATTAAGCATAATGCATTTTCCAGACCCTTTTGAGACTTAACTTTTTTGCTCATGTCTTTGGAGCATATAATCTCATATGCTTTCATAAACTTTAAGGGGGAGGGAGGATTGCTAGCTCAGCTGTCACAAGCTTGTGGAAGAAGTAGATTGACACCATTTTTGTCTCTTCTGATTTATGAGAATTTTTGGTGCTATCCTGTTGCTAAGAAATTCAGTTCATCAGTGTTAGTTCTGCTGTAAACAAGACTCAAATGACGGCTATGAGCACTTTAATCACTGTCATGCAGTGCTAAATGGCATGATAAGTAAAGCACTGCTACCAGTATTGCTGTACTACACTACTGTTACAATTGTTGGAGCTGTGCTTGTGATGGCAACAGCAAAAAAAGACAATGGAGATGTGTGACTTAATTGTCCAGAGGGAGCCATGTCAGCTCTCTATGTGGAATTAACTACAATGGAATTTTTTTTGTGGATGGTCAGAAGGAAAGCGCCTTTCTCAAACATCATTTGATGAGATGACAAGAGCAGTGTAGTTACATGCTCAGAAAACTAGCTGTACTTTGAGTGGTAGGTTTATGAATTTAGTGAAGCTTCTGGAAATTGCTTTAAAAAAGGGCATAAGTGAAATCAGTATCTCTAGTCTTAAAGAGCAGTGTGCAGAACAAAAATTGAAGTAGCAGGGTCTAGCATGTAATTACTGTAATGTGGTCTGCTGTGTCTTCCATTTTTGGAATTTTGCTATTTTATTAATGCACGTACCATTGTAATCTAAGACCTCTGGCTCCATAGGTATTAAAAACCCTTTCAGAAACAGTGTAGACAGTCTTTTCTCTAAGAAAATAACCTTGTGTCAAAAAGAATGCAACATTAGCCTCTTTACTTAGGAACTCTAACTGCCTTACAGTGGAGTCTTGGTCAGGGGAAAAGAACTGCAGGTGACGTGTTAGGATATAGATAGTCAGGCCTGTCTGTAAAGGCCTATACTCTAAGAATTTAGGTGTATTCTTATCACTTGGCTGGTTAGAGGTATAAAAGAAAGAATCAAAATCACTATCTGCCAGTGTAAGGTCGATCTCTTACTGTGACAGTCTGAGGCCCTGTTCTTAGGCTAAGGCCTTTGGCTAAGCAACAGAAGCAGCCATAAGCTGGGAAGCAACCGGTCACCTCCTCACATTCCAAACTAGTCACATTGAAATAAGGTGCTATTGGGCTGTTAGGAATACAGTCCTGTCCTGATAGTGCCTCTCCTCTCCAGAGAAAGGGAAGTGCCTAGAAAATGTAAAAGGAAACTTAGTTTGATAGCATCCTGTCTGGCAAGAACACACTTATCAATAGCTGGGATGTGAAATCCTCACTTCTGTATTGTTTTGTCATTATAGTTCCCACTTTGCTATTGTTTGTCTGTATAATCTCTGTCTGGTTCTGTGATTGTTTCTGTCTGCTGTATAATTAATTTTGCTGGGTGTAAGGTGGTGGGATATAATTGGTTACATAATCATGTTACAATATGTTAGGATTGGTTAGTTAAATTTCAGGAAAATGATTGGTTAAGGTATAGCTAAGCAGAACTCAAGTTTTACTATATAGTCTGCAGTCAATCAGGAAGTGGGGGGGGGAATTGGACTCATGTTTTGCTAAAAGGGGAAATGGGAACAGGGAATGGGGGTGGGGAAATTGGAATAATGTTTGGCTAAGGGCAGGAATGGGAACAGGGACACAGGTGTAAGGCTCTGTGGTGTCAGAGCTGGGAAGGGGGCACTAAGGAAGGAAACTGGAATCATGCTTGCTGGAAGTTCACCCCAATAAACATTGAATTGTTTGCACCTTTGGACTTCGGGTATTGTTGCTCTCTGTTCATGTGAGAAGGACCAGGGAAGTAAGCGGATGAAGGAATAAGCCCCCTAACAATATACAGCAGCAGATCATGAGGAACACAGATCATAAAAATAATAGTCAAAAAAACTGACATATGAGTCAGGTAACTAGAAAAAAGTTCAGTTGTTCATCATTTTGTCTTCAGCCTGTTGCATAGTAATAGGAGAACTATAAATCTGGATTCATATAATAAAATTTTCCTTGAAACCAAGGGATATGTCCACTTCTAGACAAGACATAAAACTGACTTTCTGACCACTTAATGTCAGTGAAGTACCTCTTCCTTTTGTCATAAAAGGCTTGTTAAACCTAATTTGACCAAAATATTACAGTTAAATCCTGCAGGTTTAACTGGATATAAAATCCTTCATTGCTATCGTTGGAGGTCAGTGGTGAGTGAAGTAGTTATCAATGGCACTTCAGTGTTCTGTAATAAAACTAATGGAAGCAAACAACACCCAAACAGAATGTATAGCTGTTGGTGGCAGACAGTTGAGAAGGCTTGATGTGACTTTGTTGTAACTTGTATTTACCATCTCTTAGTGCAGCATAGAAATCACTTAATATGTGTTGGGGAAAACACTGCAAAAACACAGGTAGTATCTGTACATTTTAACTAACTTTCTGTTGACAGTGCTTTCTGCCACAAAAGGATTACAAGTACTGCAGAAAAATCTTGTTGCAGTTCAGATTTTCTTGAGATTCACTTCTAGGTTATTCTTGCTCTTGGTCATAGTTGCTCAGAGCTTTTCTCTTTCCCTTTTTTAGTTTAAGCTCATATCCCAGGCTTATGAAGTTCTGTCGGACCCAAAGAAAAGGGACATCTATGACCAGGGTGGGGAGCAGGCTATTAAAGAAGGAGGCTTGGGTGGCAGCAACTTCTCTTCACCCATGGACATCTTTGACATGTTCTTTGGTGGTGGAGGCCGAATGAATAGAGAGAGAAGAGGTACATAGCTCTAAAGAGAAGTTCTAGAAACTTACTATGAACCAGTGCGTAAGACACCTGTGCTGCAGTATTGCTATTTTTATTAAAATGCATCTAGTGTGGATATTGTTAATAGCAACGGCATAGGTCATGTATAGTATGAGCTGATCTATTGATTATAGAAATAATTTTCTAACATGTAGCTGATACTAAAAAAAAAATCAGTGACATGGCTAGATTATGTTAAATGGGTCATGGATAATCTAGAGGAGAGACAATTTAGTGTCCAGAACAGAGGACTGGGAGTCAGAACCTATTTCTAGGTCTGCAACTGACTTGCTGATACACCTTGGACAGATTACTTAAAAGGGTACTATCAACTTGAAAATAACACTTCAAAGCATTACATGTAACATCTAACACTACAAACAAAAGATTGGAGGGGGTAGGGGGAACAAAATTTAAAAACTAAGAATTCTTGCTGTGCTTTTGATGGCACTTTCTGTATAGGTCGTTTTACTGTCTGCCTATCCCCCATTTTTATGGGTTTAGTAATAGGGGAGAGAAACTTTTTAAAATTATGCCACAAACTGGTGAGGGAATATGAAGGCAGCTCTAGCATTAAAGTGCTTCTAAATTGACATGATCGCATGTTTACAATGCCCCAATAATGTCTTGCTGTCTCAGTTAATCTACAAAATGAGGTTAATAATGGCTGCCTAATTTATGGCCAAATTAAGTTCTCATGTAAGTGGATGCAACTCCATGGAAGCTGTCAGGAGTTGCGTTTGCTTACACCAGGATTGAATTTGGCTTTTTAAAATTTGTAACAAACTGAGATTCCTCAGTTAGCCTAAACATATACTAACAAGTAGTCTGTTTAGAGACCCTATAATAAGAAATTGCCATTAATAATGTTTGTATTGGCCTTTAATTTTTCTAAACTCTTTTCCTTGAAGGCAAGAATGTTGTGCATCAGTTGAGTGTCTCTCTTGAAGACTTATATAATGGAGTTACAAGGAAGTTGGCACTACAAAAGAATGTAATCTGTGAGAAGTGTAAAGGTATGAACTTCAGTAATGTGGATCATATAAAATTCAGCTTTTTAAAGTACAGACAAAGGGAAAGAAGCACTGAGTGACTACACGAATCTCTGTAGAGCCCATCATTATCATGGCACCTAGCCATCAATGAAACGGTCTGAAAACCTTTTTTACACTGTACTTATCAACAAATAAGGCCATTCCTTTCAAGTAAAACAGTAGCCTTATCATATATTAGTGAATAGAACCTAGATTTTAGTTCCCGAAGGAGCAATAATAAAATTCAAATACAGGATGTTAAGATGGTCGCTTCTCTACAACATTAAACAACCAACCATGTATGTTCTTAAAATCTTCTTTTATATGTCCATTAAACATCATATGCTTACGTAATTGTCTGACCTTGTTGACTAGCATAAATCTTCAAGTGTTAAGACGCTAGACAATTATGTAAAATTCTAGCAGACAGCTTTGTTTTAGAATGCTGCTGGAATGCCAAATGGCTACATTTCCAAGACATGATAAATATGCTGATCATTCACTGAAAATTGCTAAAATGTGAAGGGAGGGTGAAATCAAGTGTGTGCAACTGGGAATGTACCAAATGTGTCTGATTTCACATGCAGTACATCCTAAGTGTACTTCCCTCTTAATGCTAAGAACTAGGGTTCAAGCAGTCTTATTGCAGAATGGTATTGAAGGAATAGCTTTCCCTAAGGTGTCGACCTCAGATTTTCTTTCTGCCTCAAGGATATGGTGGAAAGAAAGGAGCAATTGAAAAATGCCCCATGTGCAAAGGAAGAGGAATGCAGGTTCTTGTTCAGCAGATTGGACCTGGCATGGTACAGCAAATTCAAACTATGTGCTCAGAATGCAAAGGCCAAGGTGAACGAATAAACCCAAAGGACAGATGTGACAATTGCAATGGATGTAAAGTTGTCAGAGAGAAAAAGATCATAGAAGTTCACATTGATAAAGGTAAGAATACTTAAAATACTTAAAATAGTAGCTCAATCTCAAATTTAGTGTAAATCTTTGAAGTGTACAGATTTGTCCCAGAAATTTAGTTTTGTTAAAATGAGTTCTTAGAACATGTTACAGTATTGGTATCTAACAAAACCGGTATAGAGTAAACCTATTAATTTAAATTACCCTTTATAGGTATGAAAGATGGGCAAAAGTTGGTATTTCATGGAGAAGGTGATCAGGAACCTGACCTGGAACCTGGTGATGTTATAATTGTGCTGGATCAGAAGGATCATAGTGTCTTTCAGAGACGAGGACATGATTTAATTATGAAAATGAAAATTCACCTCTCTGAGTCTTTATGTGGCTTCAAAAGGACTATTGAAACACTGGATAATAGAGTCCTTTTTATAACTTCTAGACCAGGTAGGCTTTCAGAATTTTGCTTGTTCTTTTAGAAATTGCTTGTTAGTTGGCAAAAGTCAAACTTCACTGTTTAAGGTTCCACTGAATTTGTTACAGGAATGGGATTTTAGAAATTAGTCAACCCTGATCTGATTCAGTTACTTCTGTCAGAGTTCCTGCTCCCGTTCTATTTCCAACTCCAACTTGTTGGCTTCTTTTATTACAGGTGGAGTGGATAGCACTGCCTGTAGATGAGGTTGCTTGACACTTTGCAGTATAAGATCCTGGTTTTGATTGCTTTATAATTTTGCTAAAACTAAAATGGGAGTCAAACATCTATGAAGTTAAAAATTGGAGTGAAGAACCAGGAAGCTACTGAGTCCATATACAGCTGAAACACTTTCTGCAAGAAATCCCTTAAAGAGAAACCAACTAAACCCCACACACACACACACACACACACACACACACCCCTACCCCCCCTTGGATTTTCACCTACTGTTCTTTAAGGGTTACTTTTAAGACTGGAGAACAGACTTCATTTTTTTCTCATTACACTTTGTGTACAGTCAGCATCCCTTTGTGTTTGTATGGGCTTTCGCAGCAATGGTGAAGAGAAATTCATAAACCCAGGAATGTTTCCTGTTACAAAGCTTTGCTTTTATGGCTGTAAACCCAAATGTAAAGATACCAAAATGTATACTGATTCCAGATCCCTCTTTGTGTGCAGGTGAAGTGATAAAGCATGGTGCTCTAAAATGTATCCTTAATGAAGGGATGCCTATCTACAAGTCTCCACTGGACAAAGGTTATTTAATTATACAGTTTATGGTAAGTTCACTGCTTATTCACCTTCATGTTTAATGGAAATGTAAGGCAAGGAATTACTTACAGGGAAAACATTTTTATTTGTAGGTCATGTTTCCAGAGCATCAGTGGCTTCCCATGGAGAAACTGCCTATATTAGAAGCTTTGCTTCCTCCACGAGAAGAAGTAATGATTACAGAGGACATGGATCAGGTTGAACTTACAGAGTTTGATCCAAGAGAGCAAACTTGCCGTAATAGTAGAGAAGTATATGAAGAAGATGAAAGTCCCAGAACAGGAGTGCAATGCCAGACATCTTAAAATGAAATTGAATGGATGAGTCATCTGGAATGTTAATTTTCACAATGAAAACTGCATGGCTTCAATAGCCACTACCCTTTTTTTTTTTTGTCTTCAGCAAATTGAGTTGCTGTGTTGCCCATATGTTTGTAACCAATTCATATTTAAGTATTCATAGTCTTTATATGTAACTTAACATTTCCTAGTTACGCAGCTGAGAAAATGGACTGTGCATATCTTTTAGTTGCTATAAAGGTCCACAGCTTTAGTGAAGTACCGCTCAGGAAGCAGAGTAAGTTCAAGAGTACTATTTTATGTAAGACTCTTGCAATACCAGCTTAGTGTGTCTTATGTAAATATTTTTCATATGGTAAAGTTAGCTTGTTTCCTACAATAAAAACATCTTAGGTCCAAGCAGAAGTCTGTCTGAAAAGTACAGTCTTATGCTCCTTTCATCATTAAGCCTGTTATAAGTCTATAAATCTTTGTTCTGTATGCCAGCCCAGAACTAAATGTTGAGCTGAGGCTGTGTTATGTCCAGTAGCCAATCTCAGAACTAACTTGCTTTAGTGTCTCCATGTTAACTTTTCAAAGTTTATTCCTCTGTTGCTAGGCAGTTCAGGCTAGGGCTTTAAGGTTTAGTTTAAACAAGCCGTTAGACTGTTTAGTATAGTAATACTATGTTTTTACCTCCTCAACAATGTCCAGAAGTATAATGGATTCTAGGCAAACATACTGCTACACAAAACAAGCTTTTCATTAATCATTTACTTGAGCACCAGCTTTGTTTGCCTGTCTTACCACCTAGCATAAGTATGGCTAAGTAGCAAAAACTCAAATAGGATAAGGCATGGTATGTCTATAAGTTAGTCTACTAGGAAAAGCTTTTTACAACTATAATTCCTTGTGATGAACACACTTAATCGGGTAAGTAATGTCAGTTTAGCTGAAACACTTGCCAAAATGATAAGCTAAACTGGAAAAAGCACTTCCACCAGAATAAGTACCCAGAGGGGCCATTATAGCCAGAACTCAGCTTTTTCTTTTCCACAAACCAAGTACATGACCCTGCCTCAAACAGTGCATAGAGGCCCTGCGACTTCCCCCTTCCTCTCTGTAATTCACAGTACCTTTAGAAGGAGTGGAGAAGTTAGGTTTACCTGCCACTTACACTAGCAGGCTAAGGGAACTTATGTCCTGTATTTTTAATAGGGACCTATATTTTTTTCCTCTCCCCATACTGTCAAGTGTACTCTTCCACCTTAAGATCTGTTCTATTTGTATTTTAGTCTGTAGAGTAACTACAGGGGCTATTCTGACAGTGATCTCTTTAGATTTTATTCCAGCACCAAGTTAAAATAATAAACCTGTAAAACATTAGTGTTACTGTTCCAGCTTCAGGTAGCAGAGGTTTCCCTATCCTATGTTTTAGGTCCTTTCTTAGCTCAGTTACTCTCTCAAAGCTAGGACTGTTTCGGATTACAGCAGCCTACAGTAAAGTCATAAGTTTTCTGAAGGGGGATTATATCAAACAAGTCCCTATTCAGAATCCATTGGTTCTAAAATCTCCAGACTGTATTCAGATGAAATGCACAGGGGCTATCAGCACTTGTCAATTATATTTCTAGAAGTAGTCGAGATGGTCTATATTAGCAGTTTAGTCACATGAGAGAGCTCCACTGTCTAAATCAGTGTAGGATTTATGTACTACTGCTGATTGGAAAAATGGGTGCTTCCTGTAGCTGAGCTTTTCAAATTCTCATTGATGTGCTGTAGTAACTGTAACAGCAATGTGCAGGGCCTCATACATAATTTTACAAACACAGAATGACACCAGTCATGCTTAAGTTCAAAGTAGCTAGCTGTTTTTATTTATGCAGCTGATAGGACTTATTGTGTTTATAGCAGTATACATCTCTATCCAAAGGTATTTGTATAGAGAATCAGCAAGATCTGAGATGGCACTAGGGATCAGCATATAGCTGCTGTTCACATAAAAACATATGGCCATATGCCCACATGGTATAAAAGGCAACACCCTTGTACACAATTTGATTTAGTTTCTGTAACATAACCCCCTACGTCGGTTCTATTTACCTGCTTTTTCCACTAAAGGAATTCCTAGCTTCAGACAAGGAAAGAGCTGATCTTACATATGACTTCAACCTGCAGAATAAAGACTTGAACCTTCAGCTCTTGCTTGCAGTGGGCCGGGTGGGCAAACTATAGCCCATAGGCTAGCTCTGGCCCACCAGCCGTTTTAAGCCAGCCCATGAGCTCCAGCTGGGGAGCAGGGTCTCATGCTTGCCAGGCTCCAGCACTCCAGCTGAGCAGCAGGGTCAGGGGCCACTCTATGTGGCTCCTAGAAGCCACAGCATGGCCCTGCTTCAGCTCCTACATGCTCCAATGGATCCCTCTGACACTCCAATGGGAGCTGCAGGGGCCGTGCCTGTGGATAGGGCAGTATGTTGAGTCACTCGGCCATGCTTCCATTTCGGAGCCAGAGAAGGGACATGCTTCCAGGAGCTGCTTGAGGTAAGTGCTGCCTAGAGCCTGCACACCTGAGCCTCTCCCCATGCCCCCAACCCCTGCCCTGATCCCCCTCCCACCCTCTGAACCCCACAATCCCAGCCCAAAGCCTCCTGTCCCACGCCAGAGGCCCCTCCTGCACTCTGAACTCATTTCTGGCCCCATGCCAGAGCCCATACCCCCTCCTGCACCACAACCCCAATTTTGTGAGCATGGCCACCATACAATTTCTATTCCCAGATGTGGCCCTCTAGCCAAAATGTTTGCCCACCCCTGCATTAGGAAGAGAAAAAAAGTCCCCTTTGAACATTACCACTGACCACAGAGTGTCATACTTTGCTTGTAAATACCTGTCTACCACTACATGAAGCATAGTATAACTTTTACTTTTGGCCCATTTTATAATTAGGTAGCTGTCTTACACATTTGGGATAGCCTGCTTGCAGTTCACGTTACAGGCATAGGCTGCTACTTATTAGACTATGCAGAATAGATGTTAAACTTAAAAACCTATACCTAATCCTGCACTAGATCTAGGAAGAGGGTTTTTACATGGAGTGGGGAGGAAGAGTAACATTTGTAGAACACAAATTATGGAAGTTATTTTATTAAGATTTTGCCACTCAGCATTAGTGTCGATAAAAACTTAATGGGAAAAGGGACCCTTAAAATGTGTCTTACATAGTGCTGGGAACTGTTAAGAGTATCTCACCTTTAAATGTTTATTATTTCCTCAAACTGGTAGTTAACACAGAGGATATGACCATACATACTTCTTGTCTGGAGGACATATGATAGAGGAAAATGTGAAATTAAGCCTGTATTTTATAGAAGTAGCAAATGGTAGCATCAACCTTAGAATGCAAGAAATTAATGGTTTACTTTGTATATAACTGTTCTGCATTGAGATAGAATTGAAAAAAAAAACCTCTAGTAAAACCTACTGCAGGAGGGAAATTTGAAGCTGAAACAATCCAGAGGTTCTGCATCAATAGCTTACCTACTATATGCCCTACAATGAGACTGTATTACAAGAGCTCCCAGAAACAGGTCATCTAAGCACTGACATGAAAGGAAACTTTCCCTCTACAGTTTGGTTTTATGGGTTTAAAAAAAAAAAAAAAAGTTGAATTTTAACTGGAACACTGAGGAAATGTTTTTCCATGTGTCACATTGAATTCCACCCCCTCTCAAGAATCAGTTCACAGTCAGGACACAGGGCTAGGAAATGGGTTATAACTTTTACAGCTAATACACTTCCAGTAAAAAGAGAATATAAATTTAAGTTTGGGGTGGTTGTTTTTAATTTAAAGTTGATACATTATGACTAGTGAACCATGTGCCTTGAGCACAGGTGCTAGAATATGTTCAACTTAAATGACCCTGTCCCACATCACCAGGACAACTGTTTAGCAACCAGCATGCTGGTTGCCATATCTGACACATATAGATGGTTTAAGAGCCAGTAATGTTTCTTAAATTAAGTCTCAGCCAGAGCCAGTCAACAATTTCAGATTCAAATCTATTTATATAGTTCTGGAGAGAAAAATATGGAGGTAGCTTAAGTAAGCAGTTACTTCACCTTGGAACAGTATGTATTTGGAAATACGTACCTGAGCCTGCTTAAGAGAAAGCAGTAGTTTAGTTATATGCAACTACAATAGTAACTTCTATTTTAAAATGTAGAGTTCTTTCACGCCAAATGTAAAGTGATAAAGATACATATAAACCTTCTGTATATTTTGATTTTTCTATTGTGTCAATAGAGTCCAAGATTCATCTCAGCATTGTTAAAATATATTATCACATTAACAAAATAATCAGAAGCATCTTTAAGTAAGTGGCAACATATGAGAAGTGCAGTACTCCTGAAAACCTGTACATACATAATTAACCAATACGCCTGACTCGGCATATTTAAATTGGACAGTCATAGATATGGATTTCCTGGTCGTCTCCAACAGATACAATTTTGGAACCATTTCCATTGTATTTCACTCCCCAGACCTGCAAAAGAAGAGTGCAAACAATAGCTCATAGAAGTGGGTAACAAGATGCCATTGTTTCACATTTTCAGTAGGCACCAAGTAGTGGGGATAGTATTTAAATATATCAGTTCCACTACTCGTGTAAAGCTGTTGAGATAACCAAGGCACTGTAGGAGACTGCCGTTGGTCTGAAAAAGGCCCTAGCCTCATTTTTCATCTTCTGAACCCTGATATTGTTTAAATACTATAAAAACCCAATCATCTTCCTACTGCACCCATCTAGCTGAATATGCAGTTTATGCTCCAATAACCTGGATGAATGAGGAATGAAAGGTATGTACAAAATGGTCATTCTAATGTGAATCGATTTCAACAAGTTCGGTTCTCTCAGTAGCTGTGGTAACCTACTCCATTCCAAGCCAAACTAGTTTATAGTAATTTCGGGAAGGGGAAGAGGAAGGAAACAAAGCATGAGAAATGCAAGGCTGAAAGGAAATGGAGGGGTGCACAGGCTGAAAGATGGCCACCTTCAGCAGAAGTAAACCCAGACAGCTATCTAATGACTTAAGTACTAATACAAACCCTATAGAGGTTTGGTCAGTCCTTAAACTATTCCTATCATGTTACAAGGTCTAAGATAAAAATTTAAAAATAGCACATTAGCGGGCTATTGCCAAAAGGTCTCTGTCTTCAGTCTATTTTGGGAAGTCTTTGTCAGTTGCACCACCACTTTTCATTAACACTCCTCTCACACACCTGGAAGGGCACTACTGTGTGTTAGTCTCCTGAGAGCAAGACATCAATACATACAGTTATCAAAAAGAAAAAGAATAATTTATTTTACTTTTTTAAAAATTAGATATCCAGGTCTTATCTACCCTGTTTATCCTCAAAGACTGGGGGAAATTAGTAGCGATGACAGCACAAATTACCAAGGAAGTGAAAACTGACTAATAGGGAAGATAGGGTTGGTTTGTTTTTAATTATTTTGTTTTTAATTAAATACACCCCTCTCTTTGGTTTGTTTTTGTTAACACTTACATTCAAAAGCCCAAAATGTTTGGGAGGAAAGAGGTTAGTTTGGGAAAGATTTAGCCCCCACGCTGTCTCAAAGACAGCTACCACTCCAGTGAGAGCGCCTATTCCAAGAAGGCCTCCCAGCAAATGAGTTGATAATCCTGATTTTTGAGAAAAAAACCTCAAGAAGAAATAAGCTTTCAGGATTTCTTCCTACATAATTAGGGGAAAAGGCACCAACCCACTCCCTTTAACAGTCTATATTTTTTCCTTTACATACAGAGCACACTCACCCTGTTTGCTATGAACCAAAATAGGAGTGTAGCAAAGATGTACTGATTTGATACAGACTGATGAGATTCCATTTCACCACCCTCGAGGGTGCCTCTTGACTGGGGTTGTAAAAAGTATTACAGTACTTAGAAAAGGTCAGCCTGGGAGCTGGGGGTAATAGATTCTAGGATAGCAACTGTCAAATACCATCAAATCTTTAAAATGTTAATGCACTATCCCAAGGACTAGTGGTGAAATCCTGGCCCCACTGATTTCAATGGGCTTTTGACTTCAATGGAGCCTGGATTTCAATTAAAATACGTAAGGACCTGCCAATACAAAACACTTAGTTTGCAGCAAGCCAGGGTGTAAATCAACCCCATTCTAGCCTGTTTCAAAACTGGAGCAGATTAAAGCACACTAGGGAACTTCTGGTGTACTGCAGCAGGGTCCACACAGACACTTAGCATGCAGCAGGTTCACATGCCTGCTTGCTGCAAACTAAGCATTTGTATGGACAAGCCATAAGTGAAGTGAAGTTTTCATACTAGTAAATCAATCTAGATAAGAAGACCGGATAAGAGAATTATACATGTCCTACATTCTTAATATACCTGATCCTGATGATCAAAGAAGGTATGAACACAGGTCCTTGTTCCAGCATCCCAAACTTTTACGCTTTTGTCAGATGAACTGGAAAATATTTTAGATCAATATCTGAATTAGTAGCAATTCGATTATAGTATAATTGAAAGACCAAAGATCTGATACTACAGTATTAAAAAAACCTCAAAATTAGGGGGAAGACAACAGAATAAATGAAGATCTACCAGCAGGTTCTAGAAACATTGGCCTCAATTTGCAATTATTTTAATATGAACAGCATGAAAAATAAATGAGAATTCCAAACACAGCAATCACCAATTCTCTGAAGCACATTGGTTAGCTAAAGAAAGCACAATTGAGTAGACTCTTACTAGTCTATACTGTTCCAAGGGTTATTACCAAGATATCATTATTTTTACAATATACTATAGTACAATAGGATGATGCATCAATTAAATAATGAGAAGCTAAGCTACAATCGGTAAAAAAAATTAACATGCATTTTAAGAATCAGTATCTTTGCCTTCAATTAGGTATATTCACTTACTTGCTACTTTACAAAAATTTAGGGCCAGCTTGTGATACCCTTATTTACATGCAGAAGTCCCTCAAATGCACAAAAAGCCCCACGGATGTCAATGGGTTTGTTTGTATAAGGCACTATTCCGACGTAGTGAGCTGTAGCTCACAAAAGCTTATGCTCAAATAAATTTGTTAGTCTCTAAGGTGTCACAAGTACTCCTTTTTGCGGATACAGACTAACACGGCTGCTACTCTGAAACCTATTCTATGTAAGTAAGGATATCAGTCTGGCCCACAGTAATTTATAACAGATCTTTCACTCATTAAAAATGCTAAATACCTGGAAACAAAATGAGTATCATCTGGACAAAATGCCACATTTAATACCCAGGATCCATGACCACTTAGTGTGCCTGCCAAGTTTGCATGTTGTCTACGGGAGACAAAAAGTTTAGTTAGACACCATATAATAAAACAAATGCATTAAAATTTCATGTGCTAATTCCAGGTAAGTTCTTGGGGGCCTAGGTCACAGTTATCTGAGACACAGCCCCTCCCGCACTGGGGAGAGAGTCAGGCAGGGTGCTTGAACTAACAAGGCCTAGGATTTGAGCATAAAATACCTTTGGACTTAGCTAGGAAAAGGTAGGTAGTGATTTTGAGAGAAGTTTCAGCAAAGCGGAAAGGACAAAAGCCAGACTGGTGGAAATCAAAGAAAGCCCAGATAGCAGGAGGAAGAACGTATTGCCACAGAGAGTCGGGAGAGTGATAGGCTGTGCAGAAAAAGAGGGCAGCGATAGGGAGAAAGCCAAGGGCTTCAGGGGAGTGTGAAGACAAAGACAATGAATGAGGCAGCATATCTTAGGCATGAAGCAGAAATTCTAAAGGTGGACCAGAAAAAAAATGTATGCAGGAGAAGAACGAGGCTAGTAGGTATACTGAACTACCAAATACAGTGAGTGGGCATCAATTTTCTGAGCCAGTTCCGCCATCTACCCTTGCACCTTTTTAAAAGAGACCAAGTTCACAGGATTTAGTGTTTTACAGTTTAAAATGTCAGATTTTTAAAAAATAGTTAGTTATTCAACCACACTTTTAAGATAATTCCATACAGCAGAATGCTTGGTTTGTTACTCCTGGTGGAATTCTGGTGACAAAAAAATAAAAATTCTATGCACAATATTTTAACATTCTGCAAAATTCTGCATATTTTATTTGTCAAAACAACACAATATAATCACACCAGTTTCAATTATTTTTGGTCATTTATTTCAAAATACCTGTCAGCAAGTATGTCTTAACAATACAGACAGCAAAAAAGATTCAGGACACGTTTTTTAACAAATAGATTCCTTACTAAGCATATTAATACAGAACTTTGCGTAATAATTCATTTAAACTACAATACAGAACCGTATTTCCCACACACCTCAGAAGCAGAGCAAAGGCTTGTGGGAGTCAGGGTAACGGAGAAGCTGAGGGAGAGGGAAGTAAATTGCTGGGAAGGAGCCTCGGTGTGAACTTGGAAGGCTGTTGGGTATGGGTGGGAAAAGTACGGAACAGGTGTTTTGTTTTTGTTTTTGGGGCACAGGGCAGGGAGGAATTGTTAGGGAGCTTCTCCCATGTAGACCCTGGATGACCCGTAGCCTCTCCCAGTTAGTCAGGCACATCTGCCCATCCCCATGTGTCTCTGTGCCCTCACCTAGCCACTCCCCTGCCCCTATATAGTTCTGCCCTCCCTCCCCCTGTCCCCATGTCTCTGCGCTTCCCTCCCCACGTGCCTCCTCTCCCATTCAGCCCCTGTCCCAGTCAGTCCTCCCCCACTAGCCCTTATGAGCCCCCATCTGACAGCCCCCCCTCCTCCTGCACCCCACAGCCCGTCTCCTGACCTGGCCTGACAAGCGCTGGGAAGGCAGCTCTCCCCCTCACTGTGGGGAGCTGCAACTTTGTTCTATTGCCACATCGCCGTCTGGTGGGCAAAAGGCAGCACTGCAGCAACGTTTTGGCAGCAGCTTTTTTCTGCACAAAAAGTTAGAAATCTGCAGGGCTCATTCAATATACACATGCGCTGTAGCGCAGAATTCCCCCAAGAGTATTTTGTCCTGGGACATTACAGCCTCTTAGAATATTAGTTTTATATCACGTCTTGTGAAACAACTTACACATCATAGATTTTGATATAGCCATCATCTGAAGCTGTAACGAGCAGCTGGGAATCCGGAGAAAACGTCAATGAGCGAATTGGCATGGCATGGCCTAAAATTCAAAATAGGCATGGTTGATCTGTAAATACTCTATCATTGGAAAGAAGAATTATTAAAGCCAGTTTTAGTCAAGATAATATCTTTCCTCAAAAAAAAAAAAAAAAAAAAACGGCAACGAGATACTCGTCAATTTACATATTTGAACAATTGTTAAAGGCCCTCATTCTTAGGCTACTTCCGCCCTTGCCCCCAAAACTCTTCTCAATACAGTCAGTATAAGTATATATAAGGAATCTGGAGGGTTCCTGAGCACTAGTCTCTGTCATGGCAGAGCATATTCATTTCCACACAGGATTATCATGTTTTTACAGCGATGGTTCTTACTTAGAAGAACTATAGAAAAAAATTCAGCACCGTGGTATCAGAAGTCATATTGTGCCCTGTGTGTCATTTATCTTCAGTCTTTTACATATTTTCTAAGACTACATTAAAAAGAGAGTTGCATAAACTACTTAAGAGTATCTCTTCATCCCTGTTAGAGAGTTTCAACGTTCCAGAACTCTTCTAGCCATGGGAACTAACGATATTAAAAAGGGGGGGGGGGAGGGGGAAGGAGTAAGGCAGCATTGAGAGACCAGCTTCATTTGCTAGCACTGGGGAAAGTTAAACTGATTTGTTAGGAAGAATCCAGTTAAGCATAACTGGTTTTCCTTTCTAAAACACATCCATGGTGCATGCTGAAGATTTACAATTGGATCCTGCACATACTTCAGCATTTAGAACAGAGCTGGGCAACCTACGGCCCGCAGGCCACATCCGGCCTGTGGGACCGTCCTGCCTGGCCCCCGAGCTCCTGGCTGGGGAGGCTAGCCCCCGGTCCCTTCCCCATTGTCTCCCCCTCCCCCGCATCCATGCGGGCAGCGCGGCTTGCGCCCACCCACCTCCCAGGCTTTCCAATAAGCCTGTCCTGCCACTCTGAGCAGCATGGTAAGGGGGCAGGGGTAGGAGGGGTTGGATAAGGCGCAGGAGGTCCCAGGGGGCGGCTGGATGGGGCAGAGGTTCAGGGTGGAAGCGGTCAGGAGAGAGGGAGTGGGGGAGGGTTGGATGGGTCGGGGGTTCTGAAGCGGACAGTCAGGGGGCAGGAAGTGGGAGGTGGCAGATGGGGGCAGGGGCCAGGCTGTTTGCAGAGGCACAGCCTTCCCTACCCGGCCCTCCATACCGTTTCGCAACCCCGATGTGGCACTCAGGGAAAAAAAAAAAAAAAAAAAGTTTGCCCACCCTGATTTAGAACCATAAAAATGATGGTGCCTAAATGAGAGCACAGATATAGGTGGACTGGCTTGGAAACCTGTCCATCAGTGTAAGCTTGCAAGTGAACATTCAAGATGGACAAATTAACATGACATTTCAACCCATCAAACAATATTAAAGTGTTTCTTAACTAACATTTTAATCTGGACTAAAGCTATAACCTGCACACTGCAAACATTCCAAGACTTACCTTCTAGCGTATGCAGAAGTTTTCCAGTTGCAATATCAAAAATATTGATGATGCCATCTATTGCTCCACTGGCTAAATATTTTCCATCTGGACTCTATAACAATACATATATTACACATTTTATAACGACTCTTATTTTGTATTGGGAGGATGGGGAAGGTGCAAAGAGACAAGATGACATCAAAACAATCTGCCATGCAAGATATTTAGTATGGTGGGCTCAGAAAAATCTGAAGATCTAAGACTGATATTCATAAGTAGCGCATGAGCAAGAGCGACTTTTCCAGACAGTTTTCAGACTGCATGATGTCCTTAATGTCCATCTGCCTGTTTATTTTACTAGATGCACTATTCATTCTAACGTACAACAACAGGGGATTTTCTATTGTAATAATTTACAGTCAAGAGTGTGTGCTTTTCGATAGTTTTGTGTCTCACTTAGGAAAAGTCATTTAAACTTATTATGCCTCAGTTTCACCATCAACAAAGTTACCTCCTAATGTGGAATTCAGAGATTTAATTGGTATCTGTAATGGTCGGATATCCTTGCTGGAAGAGCAAGGGCATTATAGAAAGCTTGTATTACCTTTAAGGCTGGTCCAATTCATCAGTTAAGTTGGAGCAAAGGACCATTATACATACAGGAAAGGCCAATGGCAATTATAAGCAGAAGTAAAGTGCTTGCTTTAGGAGGTTATTGCCTAGAAGTGGAGGATAGGTAGGAAGGAAGTCGGTGTTGTTTTTTAAATAAAGGTTCCTGTTAAGGTTGTTACTACAGTGTTAGAAAATGAGTGATTTACAGCAGATTACAAGGATGATATTTTAACAGAAGAGAAGTTCTTACATATGCAATGCTAAGGATGAATTTCCCTCTAGTGTCCAGAGAATATTCCTTTTTTCCAGTTTCAACACCAAAAATGTTCACTTTTCCCACATGACTTCCTGTTGCAAGATACTGGGAATCTGGTGAAAAAGCCAACGACCAGGCATCAACTGTACGAAAAAGAAAAAATATTTGGTATATTTAATCTTGTTTATAGTTTTTAGCCAACAATGTTAATTCCACGTATACCTCTTCACAGATAGTTTATTCCCCTGCACTTCAGCCACAAAAGTTAAATTCACACCAAGCTAACAAAAGCTGACAGAATAAACGCTTAAGGTGTTTGTTTTTCAGCTTAATCACAGATCACATTTTCCAGGAATATCTTAGTCTAGGGCATCCTCCTAGAACAGCAGCATATTAAGTGCATTAAATAGCAGTAGCTATCACTGCCTTTCAAAAAAAAAAAAAAAAAATCCTCCTATTTGCTTGAAAAGCATTAGAAGAAAGAACGGTTGCCTTTGTCAGAAGCAGCACTACAGCAACAGAGACCGAAAGCACTTACAGACAGAAGGAAAAAGAGTGCCGGGCAGATCATCATTCATTGAAATAGAATTACATGGTGACTTTTTATAGTTATCTACTTAGCCTGGTGCTGCATGCCTCAGATTTATTATATATGTGCTTAGTCATTCATTCCCCGACCCTACAAGGTTGATCTACCAACATTCCTTGTTATAATACACCTCTACCCTGATATAAAGAGGTCCTTGGGAGACAAAAAAAATCTTACCGCGTTATATCAAACTTGCTTTGGTCTCGAGCATTTCCGTTATTAATAGTCATTTCCCACCCCCTGACTGACCACTCACAACCCCCGACCCATCCAACCCTCCCTGGCTCCTTGCCCCCTGACTACCTCCTCCAGAGACCCCCGCTCCTAACCACCCCTCCCAAGACTCCACCCCCTACCCAACCCCCCCTGCTCCCTGTCCCCTGACTGCCCCAACCCCTATCCACATGCCCACGCCCTGACAGGCCCCCCAGGACTCCCATGCCCTATCCAACACCCCCGTTCCCCGTCCCCTGACTGCCCTGCCCCCAGATCCTCCAAACCATCCAAACCCCCTACTCCCTGACCGCGTCCCCGAGACCCTCTGCCCCTTATCCAACCCCTCGGCCCCGGCCCAGAACCCTTAACACGCTGCTCAGATCAGTGTCGGAACCAGACATGCTGATGCGCTGATCTGCCGGAGCACGCAGCCCCACCCCCCAGAGCGCTGCTTTACCGCATTATATCGGGCAATCGGGGTACAGGTGTATTTCAATCCTTTGGTTAAGATCTTGTGCCACTCCAGATTGAAATTCAGTGCTTGTCAAGGCTTATCTAGGCTTACGCCTTATTTGTTTTGATTTGCACCTTCGGACATAGCCATGCATTCCATAAACAAGCACTCTCTGCACAGTACTGAATTTCAAAGTGCACCTGCAGCAAACCTGGGGCCTTCTTAGTATGCAAATCTCAGCCATCACTATGTATTTGAATAGGGTTTTTTGCCACCACTAGACTTTCTGATCACTACACCTATGAGATAACTGGATTCTATTCTGCCTTATGCATCCTCAACAAAAGTCACTTTAGTGCAATTCAGAACTCTAATGAGACAGTGAGTAAAACCAGCAAGATTACATGACGGCCTTGTCTACACCTAGAAGTTGCACTAGTTTAACTAAAATCAGCCACACCGGCTGATTAAATAGATTGTTATCAGTGCAACCCCAAATAGAGACACATCAGTTTAACACTGGCTTATACCAGTACAGAGTGCACTGGTAAAGTGAATGCAAGTGAATGTCTGTTAATCTCATATCCTTGTTTTGCAAAAGGAAGGAGACAGTTGTGACACTATAAAAAAAGCTAATCACTCCCAGCTAGTATGTTAGTTCTTTACTGTACGGTATACACACACACACACATTACACAGATTACAAATAAACCAAATTAGCACCAAGATCTTACCAGGACCAGCATCTATGGACTTGATCTGTTTGCCAGTTTCTAAGTCCCACAGACGAATATGAGCATCTAGGGAACTGGATGCTGCAATGGTACCGGTGTGGCTGATATCTACTGATACCACACCCAGTTGATGGCCCTCTAAAGTCCATTGTAGATCTAATTTTTCATCAGTCCTTTTGTTAAAAACCACAAACAAAAACAAACTAATTAACAGTAATTTCAGGTACTGCACCCACCTCCAGCTTTCCCACCTCCCCCTTCTTTATCGGTCTCTCTTTTTTTAAAAAGCATTTCTTACCTTTTGCACAGCAGGTGAAGAGTGAAAGCAGACAGTTTGTGCGTAGCACTACTTACAACCTTTTTTTCCAGTTTGTTTCCCAAGCCCAGCCCCCATTTCAGCAAAGCAAAGTGCTCTGCTACTTACTGTGCAGTGCACAGCTACTGATGTTCTAGGGCTAGAGAAAGGAAAGAATACTGTATTTCTGCACTAGTTTACATTGTATTTCCAATTGTTAATCAGTTTAACCAATGTTTATTGAACCCCTCACTTACCATTTCCAGACCTTCACTAGATCATCTAATGATCCAGAGATTACCGTTTCAGAACCATCTCTTTTATTCTTTCCCCATGCAACTGACCAGATGGCATCATCATGTGCTGAAAGAGAGCACAAATGTTAGAGAGAAAACAATGGTGTTTCTTGGAATCAAGCAGGTATATTTACCCACAGCAGTTGCTTGTTCTTACTTCCTGCTATAAGCAGACGGAAGCACTAATAATGCGCTGAATCGGCTAACAATACCTTCCCCTCTCACCTATAATTCTCATGTCATCCTGAGAACATATACACTATGGAAAGAACAGAATGGAAAGCTGCTAGCAAGCATGGTATCTGAGCAGCAGCCATGTTAGACTCCACCCACAGCACAATGCAAGCCCCGGTCAAGGCCACGTAAACCATGTAGCCAGCTGGACCTAAATCCTGCAGCAAAGCTTCTGGTTACTGTGGCAGTTCAGTCCAAAAGACTTTGAAATTCTGCATCAGGTTTAGGTAGTTTACACAACAAAACAGGGACATTTAACAAAAACCAATCAGATTCAAAAATATGAAAAATAAATCAGTATAGCATTCATTGTGTTAGAAATCTAGGAGCTCAGTAAATCAAACACGTTGCAGATGTTCGTATTGACAATTCATAACTATAATGGAAAAGTTGTCAGGGAGGAAGCTCTTGGTATCTGCAGTTGGGAATACTATCACTCATGAAAGCATGGGATTCTGCTGCAGAATTCTGTGGCACATGCTGTAGAACCACAGAATCCAGGGAGCCGTGGTCACAGTAAACGGCCTCAGGGATCATGGGCTTGCCTATGAATCCATACATTCTCAAGTACACCTGAACCAGTCTACAAAAAAGTAACATGGATTGGGAATGTTCTCATAGGGCCTGAACCAAAGCCCACTGAAGTCAACAGGAGTCCTTTTGTTGACTTTGGTGTGCTTGGATCATGCCCATGCAGCATTAAATCCAATTTTATTTACCGTGATTACTGCAGCTAAAAATACCATAAAACCCACTCAGATTTGTGAAACATTTCACATAGATTTAGACTTAGTGAGAATACAATCTGTTAGTACTCATTTTAAATCCAAGGAAATAAAGATTTTAGAGAAGAAAAATTAACAGCACAAATACCATGTTAGTATCTCCTCACCTTGTTCTTGCTTGAAGAGAATACTGTACTGAAATGAAAAAGAACATCCACGTTATAGAAATGGTCAAAAATCAAACTAGAGAGATTAGTTTAATTACTCCTGTGTATTTACCTGTGTGGTCATTTCTTTATATAAGCTGAATATGCATAGGAATACTCTGGAAACAAAAAGAAAAAAATTAAGGTCAGAAATAAGAATTAGGGCTGTCAAGTGATTAAAAAAATTAATCGCGATTAATTGTGCTGTTAAACAACAATAGAATACCAATTATTTTAAATATTTTGGATGTTTACTACATTTTCAAATATATTAATTTCAATTACAACACAGAATACAAAGTGTACAGTGCTCGCTTTATGTTTGTTTTTTATCACAAATATTTGCACTGTAAAAACCAAAAAAAATATTTTTCAATTCACCTCATACAAGTACTGTAGTGCAATCTCTTTATCATGAAAGTTGAACTTACAAGTATAGAATTAAGTAGGAAAAAAAACTTGCATTCAAAAATAAAACAATGTAAAACTTTACAGCCTACAAGTCCACTCACTCCTCCTACTTCTTGGTCAGCCAATCACTCAGACAAACAAGTTTGGTGACAATTTGCAGGAGATAATACTGCCTGCTTCTTGTTTACATCACCTGAAAGTGAGAACAGGCAACGCCAGCTACAACAGTGCCATGCGAACGCAAGATATTTACGTGCTTGTTGTGCTAAAGATTCATATGTCCCTTCATGCTTCAACCACCATTCCAGAAGACATGCATCCATGCTGATGATGGGTTCTACTTGATAATGATCCAAAGCAGTGCGAACTGACACATGTTCATTTTCATCATCTGAGTCAGATGCCACCAGCAGAAGGTTGATTTTCTTTTTTGGTGTTTTGGGTTCTGTAGTTTCCGCATCAGGGTGTTGCTTTTTAAGACTTCTAAAAGTATGCTCCACACCTCGTCCCTCTCAGATTTTGGATGGCACTTCAGATTCTTAAACCTTGGGTTGAGTGCTGTGGCTATCTTTAGAAATCTCACATCAGTACTTTCTTTGCGTTTTGTCAAATCTGCTGTGAAAGTATTCTTAAAACGAACATGTGCTGGGTCATCATCTGAGACTGCTATAACATGAAATATATGGCAGAATGCAGGTAAAACAGAGCAGGAGACATACAATTCTCCCCCCAAGGAGAAGAGTCACATATTTAATTGACATTTTTTAACGAGCATCATCAGCATGGAAGCATGTCCTCTGGAATGGTGGCCAAAGCATGAAGGAGCATTCGAATGTTTAGCATACCTGGCATGTAAATACCTTGCAATGCTGGCTATAAAAGTACCACACGAACGCCTGTTCTCACTTCCAGGTGACACTAAATTGGAAGCAGGCAGCAGTATCTCCCGTCAATGTAAACAAACCCTTAGAGGTTTGGCAGAATAAGAAGTAGGACTGAGTGGACTTGTAGGCTCTTGTAGAAAGTTTTACACTGTTCTGTTTTTGAGTATGGTTATGTAACCAAAAAATCTGCATTTTTAAGTTACACTTTTATGATAAAGAGACTGCATGTCAGTACTTGTAGGAGGTGAATTGAAAAATACTATTTCTTTTGTTTATCATTTTTGCAGTGCCTTTATTTGTAATAAAAAATAATATAAAGTGAGCACTGTGCACTTTGTATTCTGTGTTGTAACTGAAATCAATATCGAAAATGTAGAAAAACATCCAAAAATATTTAATAAATTTCAATTGGTATTCTATTGTTATAAGTGCGATTAATTTTTTTAATTGTGATTAATTCTTTTTAGTTAATCGCGTGAGTTAACTGCGACTGACAGCCCAAATAAGAATACAAATAAATCTTCACAAGACAGTTTACCCTTCCTCTTTCTTCCCCCAGGTTTACCACAAGAATGAACTAAAAGGGCAGAAGTACTATTTAACCTTCCAAACCAAGACTTGCCACTGAGCCCTACCTGGGATTCAAACAGTGGCATATAAAGTAGTGTCAGCAATAAGAAGCCTCTAGTAATCATATCATGTTCTGATATGCAGGGAGATATTATTTTTCCAAGGCCACAGTCCTGCATCAGGATCCAGTACCATATACCTCTCCACTTAAATCAATTGGACTTTGTACAGATTCATGGGACCAGGACAATGGATCCTGCAATATGCATCCTATGGGAATGAGGGTCCAACCCACTTGGAGCTCATTCCAAGATTGAGGCCTTAGGCTGTAAACACTTCAGGGCAGAGAAACTTGAAAAGAGTGAAAGATGAAATACAATGCACATGTATAGCCCTGAAAAAGTAACAACAGAAATATGACAGAGCTGGGTGAGTGGAAGTAAAGCAAATATGAAATCCATTTTTCATTACTTAAATTTTCTAATTTCAAATCTGCGGTTTCCTGTATTGTCACAGATTAAATGGGCACTGTCATCTTGAAATCAAGCTGATTTTTAAAAGTGAGCTTAAAACACTTCCAGGTTCTACACCTACTCCTGGGTCCCCCTACCACTTCATTGGGTTTGATAATCATGTTTTCCTAATTTTTAAGAAATGCTTCTCTCCCCTCTGGCTGGGTGAAAGGTTCACACGAAGAAGAGGGGGAACTGGCTAATTACACGGGGGGTGGGGGGAGTGACACCCACTACGCAGAGCGCGGCCAACTGCACGGAGGGCCAGGCCAGTTACTGGGATCCTGGGGGCGGGAGTAACAGCAGGCGGGTGGGCACTGCCCAAGAGGAACGCAGGACATGGGACCCTCGACATCCTGTACCACCCCCACCTCCCCGGAAACCGCCTGAGGGCCCCCCCGGGTCCCCAGCGGCCCCCCCAGCACCCGCCGTCCGCGGCGCCAGCTCCCCTCTCCCGCACCAGTTAACACCCCAACAGGCGCCCGGCGCCCGCCCCGAGACCCCACATCTCTTACCTGGGCGCCGCTCCTGCTCCTCCCACCCGAACTCGCTGCCACCCAACCAGCAGCCGCGACGCCGGCGCCCTGTGATGAGGTTTCTTACCATAGAGAGAAAGGCTGGAGCGTCCAACTTCAGTGCCTGTCTCCCCGCAGTGATCATAGAGGAAGACGCGGCTGGGGCGTCGTGCTGCCGCCTTGTGGCTGAGAAGGCCCCTGGAGCCGCCCTCCACGTGCCCTGGGGGCTACCCACGGCGCCGCCCCCGCTGGCCCCTCTTCGCCTCGTCTCTCTCCTTTCAGAAGAGCAGCGCACGGGCCCTGTTCGCCCCGAGCGCGACTCCACCGAGCCCAGGGCCATGTGCAGCTAGGCGGGGTGGGGCTGGCCTGGGCTGCAGGGCGCAGTGGGTGGGCATCCAGGGTGCCAGGCAAGTGCCTCTGCGCACAGGCCCAGCCAGGCCCACGCAGGACTGTGGCCAGTTAGGAAAGTCCCATCACTTCAGCCCGCTGTCTAGCCAAAATACTGCCGTGAAAGTCCTCCCCAGCCACATTCCAGCCCCTCACCAATCCCAGCCCCTCGCCTCTACTTCACACCTGGACGCCTGCTCCTCGCCTCCTGCCCACATAGCACCTGCCAAGCAGCCTGCTCCCTCCAGCCATTCACCAGTCCCTTAGCTAGCTGCCGCTGCCGCACCCCTTTCCTCTCTGCACCTGCTGCCTCTATGGCTGCCCCGTTCCTGGCCTCCCTCCCTGGCCTGGCCTCCACCTTTTCCTTGGTCAAGTTCCCCCTCAAAACATTTCTTCAGTGGGGCCAAAAACCCTCTCCAAAAAATGATAGTGAAACTGGTGGTACTACCCACACTCCTGCTGAATCACCCTGCTCAGTCGCTTGCTGTGCACCACATCCCTTCCCCCATCCTCCTGTGAAATATTGCCATTCAGATTGTAACTTCCTTGGGGCAGGGACCTTGCCCTCATATTTGACCGTAAAGCCCTTCGCACATTTTGGGCTCCAAATAAAGTAACTAATTATTTTTGTTACTATAATTAATAATAAATAGTAGCAAAAAATTAAACCTCATTAGGACATAATTGGCAGGATTTGGGAGTGGCTTCTTAAGAGGCTGACTCGGCAGTTTAGGGAATTGCTAGCTGTGAGTTGTACCTGGCTGCCTTTTGTCATGGTTAGGGAAGAACTTGTCCAGAAAATTCTTCTTGTCCTTGATTATTCTGTGTAATAGAGACTCCACATACTCTTGAAAATGTTCTGGTAGTGGGATCCATGCACCTGACAGCTCCTCCAAGGAAAATACTGTAGCTTCTTTACTGAAGGAAGAGGAAGTTTCCTTGGTAACCATCTATGATCATACAGAAGAGGTAGGCTACTCTTTCCAGCAAACTGGATCATTTCCAAATTTCATTTCCTAACTCACCCATGCGTTAAGATTGTGGGAAAGCTGTCCAAATTAAATGATACTGGGACATTAAGTTAAAACCCCTGGATGTGATTCAGAAGGCATTCTAGAATTTGTAATCAGTCTTTACTTGTCAAAATTTGCCTGAGTAAGCAAAGTAAAAACAGAGATGGGACCTTTGCATTTGTCCCAACACAATACTGCAGTAAAAGAATGAAAATCTAGAAAATATTATTTAGTATAATTTCACAATTCTGTGGTATCCTGATTATTTGTAGACTGACTTTTAAGAGATACCTCTGTACTGATTGAATTTTAAAAGTACACACTAGCTACAAGGTGCTAATTAGGGGCCTACTAAAAAGGAAGCTACCCCCCACCAAGTTTCATACAGGAGGTGCACTCCCAGGCGGAGCTCTTAACTGCAGCATTAGTGTGGAATGTGAGTTCTGCAGAGAGGTGCTTCTCCTAGCTTGTGTCCCTGGGACAGGGAGTCAGTGTTTTGTTTACAAACAGAAATTGGGTGATTAAGACAAGAAAAGGTTGGTAATTAAATTAAGGATCTGGAAATCCTTAGATGAACTTGTAAAACAAAACAAAACAAAACAAGGATTACTTGTGGCACTTTAGAGACTAACAAATGTATTTGGGCATAAGCTTTCATGGACTAAAACCCACTTCATCAGATGCATGGAGAATACAGTAGGAAGATATATATATATATATATATATATATATATATAAAACAGTGCATGAAAAGATGGGAGTTGCCTTACCCAGTGGGGGGGTCAGTTCTAATGAGACAATTCAATTAAAGTAAGCTATTATCAACAGGATGAAAAATCACTTTTGTAGTGGTAATCAGGTGGCTCATTTCAAACAGTTGACAAGAAGTTGTGAGTAATAGTAGGGGAAAATTAGTATGGGGAAATTAGTTTTTAGTTTTTGTAGTGACCCATTCACTCCCAGTATTTATTCAGGCCTAATTTGATGGTATCCAGTTTGCAAATTAATTCCAATTCTGCAGTTTCTCGCTGGAGTCTGTTTTTGAAGTTTTTATTATTGAAAAATTGCCACTTTTAAGTCTGTTATTGAGTGTCCGGGGAGATTGAAGTGCTCTCCTGCTGGTTTTTGAAAGTTACAATTCTTGATGTCTGATTTGTGTCCATTTATTCTTTTGTGTAGAGACTGTTCAGTTTGGCCAATGTACATGGCAGAGGGGCGTTGTTGACACATGATGGTAACTACTTGTCAGCTGCTGGAAATGGGGCACCTTGATTGCACTGGCTTTGTTAGCACTACAAAAGTAATTTTCCTTCCCTTGGTATTCACCCCTTCTTGTCAAATGTTGAGATCAGGCCACTTCCACCTTAATTGAATTGTGTCGTTAGCACTGACCCCCCACTTGGTAAGGCAACTTCCATCTTTTCATGTGCTATAATATATATTCTTCTTACTGTATCTTTCACTCCATGCGTCTGATGAAGTGAGTTTTAGCCCACGAAAGCTTATGCCCAAATAAATTTGTTCGTCTCTCAGGTGCCACAAGGACTCCTCATTATTTTTGCTGATACAGACTAATATGGCTACCACTCAAAAACAATAGGATATGTGCAGTTCTTCGCTACACAGGAGCAGCAATCACAATTACCTTCCTAGCCTTTATCAGATGGCAAATGTGCAGGTAACTTTGATTTATTAAGGTCTTGGAGGTATCTGAAATCGTTATAAAATCAGCAGATTCAATAATCAGGAGTTTCAGCTCTGAGGGTTGCTTGAGCTGCACAGGACTCAAACTCAACCCCTGCAGAGCCACTCAGCTGACATGTCAACTCCTTTCTCTCCTCCATAGTAAGTAGTTTAGTGAAGGGGTTTGCTGACCGAGGTACATAGTGCTTGACGCTCCGTGTGGGTTGCTTGGAAGTGGGCATGTGATTTGTATCGGAAAGGCACGGTCTCTGGTTTATCAGGATGGTGAATATGAAAGGTAGAGTTGGGAATCTGGTCCAGGTAGGGGCAAATTTTCAGGTGCTCAGCATGCACGAGGGGGCCAGATTTTCAGAACAACTCTGGGCCCGCTAAGGCACCTAAAAATAAGGACCAGATTTTCAAAGGAGCTCTGCACCCAATGTGCTGAAATGTTTTGAAAATTTGGCTGTTTATTTTGGTGCCTTAATAGGAGCACAGCTCTTCTGAAAATTCTGGTCATAGGAGCGTAGCTAGGGAACAGTTTTGGTTTGGGGCTGCATGTGCAAAATATGTTTTGAGCTTTGGGGTATCCTTAGGCTTCTGTGGGGAGAACTGCAGTGTGAGATAGATATATATGTCTGTGGGACACACAGAACTAGAACAAGTTGTATTAACAAATGCAAAGAACAGTGTATAAGAATACCCTGTAACTTGCTATATATAGATCCACCACTGGGGGAGCTTTCCAGCATCTTGACCAGCACCAGCAGCTGGGATAGGGCAGGCCCAAGTCTGGTTCTTCTGCAAAAGGTAAAAGGTGAGCTATATTGGCAATAATGGGCAGGTGAACTAGAGGATAGTCTGTGGGCCAGGAAGAGTGAGTGGTGGGTTGTGTGAATGCGTAGCCTGTAATAGAGATACAATGGAGAGTAAATGGGCATGAGCAAGGCCGGCCTTAGGGGTCAGCCACCCAGCCAACTGCCCAGGGAAGCCATGGTCAAGGGGGCGCTGTGCAGCAGCACAGAGGTGCGCGCTGCCAGTGTAGAATCAAACTGCTCCCGGCTGGCAGGGGAGTGCTGCATGCGGGGGTGCCGGATTTCTCCCTGCTTCCTCCTGGTCGGGGTGGGGGGGTAGCAGTGCTGATATACAGATACTGCTCTCACACACACACACTGACATTCCTCTGCAGCCCCCTAGGGGGCTGTGAGGAAGGGAGCGAGGAACAACACCAAGCGCTCTGTACCGCCAGGTCACTTTCCCCACCTTGGATGTGCTGTGAGGCAAGCAGCAGGAGCTGCTGCTCTGCTGCCTTCTCCTTACGCAGCCCAGGTGGGGAAAACAACCTGGATGCAGGAAGCCCTGATGTTAAAGTAGCAGCCAAAAAAGGACACTTTTTTTGTTGTAGATAAAGAATTTTAACCTACATGGCTAACACCTTAAATACGTTAAAAGAGAGAGAAACTTAAAATCCAATTTCATTTTGTATGCGTTTTGTTTGATTACTATTATTATTAATCATGTTGCTATGGTATTGCCTAAGGACCAGTCTAGGACAGGATCCCATTGTGCTAGGTTCTGTACAAAAAAGCAGCAGACAGTCCCTGTCCTGAAGAGCTTAGAATCTAAATAGATAAGACAGAAAAGTTGTTTTTGTTGTGATTTTTTTTTTGGCGGGGGGTGAGAGAAAGGGTATGAACATGTGAGCAGAGTGAAGTGAGTTTTCTTGCATTCCTGTCAGCTTGGACAATGAAAATCAATGAACTATTCCAGCAGTTTCAGCTTCAATTTCCCTACCTAAAGAGAGCTTGGTGTACCAGAAAGGGACCATTGACCGAAACTGTAGCACCTGCAGCCACCGCAGTGACAAAGGGTTCCTAAACGCAGCACTGTCAAGATTCTCAGCCTGTCCCTGGTAACACACATGCAGCCCTCACAATGAAACATTAATCACTCCGAGACTGTCCTTGTTCTGGCAGTGGAGAAGCAGACTGTGACCAGTTGTGGCAGGTGGAAAGAATCCTCTGCTGTCAT